ACCAAATCTCACTTCTTTTGGAAATCTTTCCTCTCATACCCAATTCCAGTTCTTGTTTACTCTTGGGTACCAATAGATACTCAACAAATAATTGTGCTTGTCCAGTGAGAGGGAATGGGACTGATTTTAAGTGGTGAGAAAAAAGTGCTGGGTCCATTCATTCCATAGCAGTGCAATTTCTGGATAATAAAAGAATGGAAAAAAAGTACCTACCAACCATTAGGTCTGGGGCCCTTTAGTAGAAGGCTTTTAAAATTCACTGGACTTTTCTAGGAAAGGATGCATCAGGGATGCTCAAAAACGAGCACTTCTTAGACCTGCAGCAGTCAGGGGGTTAAAGGATCCTTCCCGCCTAGGGGGTTCCAGAGATGGACAGAGAGAGACTTGACCATTTCCCTCCTTCCTCCTTCTCCCTTTCTTCTTTTAAACTTTGTCCTAAATGGTCACAGCAGTTGATACCTAATGTAGAACTTGGGAAATTCAGAAACATGTGAAGAAGGTGATGATAGGCTTCACCCATAATCCCACCCTGCAGAGGCTCGAGCTTTCTCTTTATCTGAATACACCAGGCAGGGTGTGGTCCAACCCCTTGTTCAGCAGTCTCCATTTACTTTGCAAAGTAACAGCCGCAAGCCCATGACTGTCTCCTCCCTCCCTTCTGGAAGTCTCAGGGATCGGTGAGCTTGGGTTCTGACTTCAAGTCTAAGGCTTGGAGCAGATGCTGTGCTGAGGGTCTGGGGGCCTGGGGCTTTCCAAAGCTGGCACTACCCCCAGGGGGAGGCCATGCCCATGGTGGTGGTGGGGGTAGCCAGGAGCAACCATTTGCAACATCTTTCCATTTTGGGTGCTCAGGGTGCTTAGACTGTCTGTTCCTGTTTGGACACCTCCCACTGAAGGAGCAGGAGACAGGCACCTGTCTCTCTTAGGTGCACATGGAGCTTAAACAGCTTCTAACAAAAAGTCACACAACATGGGCATCTGTTACTCTCCTTATAGACCTTCTGTTCCTTTTATAGCTGCTAGGAATGACCCATAAAAATATGATTTTATGCTCCGGTGATTACATATACCTGGTCTTCAGTGGGACAGGGAGGAAAATGACTTGTGACCGAGTGCATCTTTTATGATTTGCAATCCCCAGCTGCTCTCCCAGGAGGGTGAATCCCAGCTAGAGTATTTCCTGAGTAGGGGTCAAGGGTGTGAGGATGCAAACTGGAGCTACTGAGAGGGAGCCACAGGGCTCCCCTGAGCAAAGAATCGAGGGTCTTGGGGCAGGGGCAGAGGAGGGGCTACTGGAGGGAAGAGATGAGAGAGACAGATAAGGGGGCAGGGCTGAATGTTGGAGGGCCAAGGGGGTTGCAGTGGCATGTGGGATCTATTGTTTTCTCCTCTGTCTCCCCATAATTAGTGTTATGTTGTGAAGTTGAATTTGTTAGTTTAAGAGTTGCAGTCAATTGCTGGAATTCTGCTTCCAAATAGGCAAGAAGAATGGCTGCCAGAGGGGGTCCAGCTATTTGGGGGTTGTACAACAAAAGAACAATTTGTTTTAAAGAAGGAGATTTGGGCACTAGGGAACCTGCCAATGCGCACCTCCATTAACTCTCGGCACATTACCAGGAACTGTCTCCCCATGCTGTTCCATGGGGGCCTAGCTCCCCTAGGGCCTCTCTCCCCGCTTTGGGCCCCCAGGACCTGGACAATGCTGCTTTGTGAAACCAGCCCAACTTGCAATGCACTGTTAAGTTGAGTTTCAGTTCAACTACCATTCATTCAGCTTCTACCTGGCTCCAGGTCTTGTGGCAGAGCATAAGGAACAGAGGAGTGCCAAAGACACATGCCGCGCCTGCTAGGAGCTCAAGGTAACAGTTTGTTGCTGTCAGATAGTGTCAGAAGAGGGAAGGTGGTGTGACAGCCAAAGGGACAGGGGTGTGGCTGGGAGGCTTCCAGGAGAGGACAACCTGAAAGAAAGGGAGAAGGAAAAGAGGAAAGTTCTCCAGGCAGAGATCAGCATGGACAAAGGCACAGAGGTAGGAACAGCCTGGTGCCTTCCAGGTCCTGGGAATAGCCCCGGAACACCCATGAGGGGGCGGGGAAGGTGGGGGCAGGCACTGAGATACTCTCAGGGCTTTGTGTGCCAGCTAAGAGCCTGGATCTCATTCACCTGGGTGGCAGTCCTCAAGGGGAAGGAGGTGGGTAAAGAGAAAAGCAAGGCACCCCCGGTTCTCTGATTGGGGATGGATGGGTTTGAATTTCCAGCATGGAGCATATGTTTGGTTTGAAAAAGCAAATTCAGAGTTAAAACTTTATATGTGATAAATGTAAGAAGGATACCTGTCATAATCTAAGTTTGACTTGAATTTTGGCTAGAGGAGCAGGAATTAGGAAAAAAAGTGCAGGAATACTGCCCCAGGTGATGGGAGCCACAGGTGGGTTTTAGCAGGGAGGTGACAGCATGGGTCAGATTGGCACTTTTAGAAAGTGACTCTGGCCACTGATTGGGTGGTGGGTATGAGAGAGGAAAGACTGTGCATAGACTATGAAAGGGATGGAGAGATGGCGGCATGATTTAGGGCCTTGTGCCCTGGGTAGGGAGAGATTTAGTGGACAGGAAACCGGAGAACTTGGTGACAGAGAAGGTGCACAGGGCGAGAAAAGGAGTCGCGGCTACGTTCTGCAATCCTTGGTGGGGTGGCTGGCTAGGTTAAGGTCAGGGAGGCGGGGCTGGCTGGGGGAGGGAGGCTCTGGTGGTTGGTTCAGGGTTGCTTGGTTCTGACAAGTCAGTTTTAAAGCGACTGTGGGACATCTGAATGAACAAAGGTCCTTGAGCTTCTTGTGACTTGTTCACATTCACACTCTAGTGGGCGACTATCTAGGGCTGGGATCCTGTGTCCTAACTCTTCCCACCTTGCAGCCCAGCTTGACTGGACATGGAGACAAGGAACAGGTGGCTCTGAGATGTCGTGCCTCCTAGGAGATGTCAAGCACCCTGGGGGTGGGTGCTGGTGTTCTTATGATATGGAGTACCCCTTGCTTCTCAGCTTTGCCCCAGGGTGTGAATGGTTGAAAGGCAGGCTCTCGAAACACATGCTGGGGAAACCAAAGGCCGAATGAATGGTGATGCTGGCCTCAACACTGCAGCAGGCACAGGCTCAGAGAGTTGTCACACCAGGGTCCCCTGAGGTCCATCCAGGGTGGCAACCCTGCCCCAGTTGCTAGATCCTCCTGAGTGCCCCTGGCATCATGTCTCATTCTCATTAAGACTTGCTCATCTGGTGCCTGTCCTGGCCCTGCTCTGCCTGACTGTGCAATCAGAGATCTGATAGTTTTGGTACCACAGGGGAATGTTTTACAACATTTGCCTATGGTACCTCTCAGACATATTTTCATTTTTAATCAGGGGATAATACTATAACCCAAGGAATGAGCCTCTAATAGTGGAATTTCAACACCAACAGAGATTGGGATAGGAATTATTGTGTTTAGTGTATACTTATCTGGGGGACGGATGCCTATACATCTTATGTGAATGGCACAGGTCACTTCTGGAGGCAAAAAATTAGTTCTTTTGGTGGAAACAAGAAATAGCTAAGACTCTGAAAATCCAAACCTTAGCAGGTTATGACCACAAGACAACCTCATACCTCTGTGGCACGGGCTGCTGGGGAAGGGGAAGAAGCTTATGCTTCAGGTAAGGCAACTTACGAGGCTGTGGATTAGTCCTTAGGGGACATCAGTGGCCACCCCTCAGAAGAACAGCATCCAGAGATATGTCAGTAAACCCTGCACTAGAGCTAGCCAGCTTTGGAAGGCAGGGCTCCCTTTCATGTTGGACAGAAGCAGCATAAGGTGGTGCCTGTGACCCTGTTCTAGCTAAAAATAAGACTAATGGGAGGAGGACCCCAGCTGGCAGCTGGACGTGCAGAGCATCAAGACTAGGTTATGGAAGCAACTGCTGGGTCCCTAACTAGAGCCATGAGCATCAGGATTGGGCTCAGGGGCCATCATAGCACTGCAATGCTGAGCCCAGAGTACCCTGGCTGGGCTGAGAAAGAAGCTGTGCTTTAGTGGGCATGCAGTGTCCTGGCCTCCCTCAGCCACACCATACCTACCAAGATGGATTCTCTCTGCCCCTCAATGGTAGGTTAAGTCTTTCCAGATGCCCCGCTGTGGCCAGTGCCAGGTCAGGGATGGAGCTGAACTGGCCGGTGAGGAAGGACAGACAGGGACTGGCCCCAGAGCCATGTGGGAATAGGAGTTGGTGTTGGGGATGCTGCCAGCCCTGGGCAAGACAAGCATCCTTACTCTGAGCAACAGAGTGCCCAAGTGAAAATGGGAAACCATCACTTGTGGGTTTTGTTTGTTTGCTTAAACATTTTGATGATTAACCCTTTGAAGACCTTGATCCCCAGGATTTTTAGAGCAGTAACTCATCCTTGTTTGTAAGATACTAATGCTTGGTGAAATTGTCTTGAATCCAATTCATGGCCTGTGCACCTCCCAAACCCTTCCACTGTCCTGGGGCATGATATTCTTCAGGCTTCTTCTGCTTCTTTGACAGCATCCAAAATTCTCTCATACCAGTGTCTGTGAGTTGAGTAGCTATTAGTGAAGTATTGGGGGTGGTATCAGGAAGGGGTCACAATGCCTTCCAGTCTGGCAGCCAGGACCCCTCCAGGCTTACGCAGGAGTTCCACATCCTGCTCCCTCCACTGTGCAGAACAGCTTCTCTCCTCTGGTCCTCAAAGCCAGGACTCAGTGAAGAGATTTTCCAATTCCTCTCTTTGAAAACAATTTTGGTCCCACTTGTAAAGATAATGAAGCTTTCTTTACCTTTTCATAGATATAATTTGCTTTTAAAATAAAATTTCATTTCTAGTTCATTTTTAAGAATTTCTCCGCAGTCCTTACAATAAATCAGCGCCTAATGGTGCTGCAAAAACAGGGTAAGGAGTCCTCGTGGTGCAGACAAGACCCTGATGTTTGTTGCTCGTGTTTTTCAGCTTTCATCCAGATGTTTGAAATCCTGTAGATGAGGTCGGCGTCCCTGAGAGCAAAGCAGGGTGCACGGGCCGAGCACTGAGAAGCAGCAGCCTGGGATAAGGCTGGTCCAGCCTCCCGGTAATTTGTTGGCAGTTTTTGGGTGGTGATGGGGGGTGAGGCACGCTTTTTGGTTGGGTCCGTCTCACCAGGATGAGCTTCCAGTCACCAGCAGAATTGTGGGAGTGGAGTGGAGTGGAGTGGAGTGGAGGAGTGCAGATCTGGAGCCAGAGATAGTCCTGGTTGAGATCCTGACTCCACTGTTATCTGTGTGATCATGGGCAAGTTAGCTAACCTCTCTGTGATTCAGTTTATCTGTAAAATAGTGACATTAACATCTGCCCTATGGAGTCGTCCTGGGAATGAAAATAAATCATGAATAGAAGTTGCCCAGTACTGTTCTGTCACCAATTCTCTGACGCAAACTGGCAAACTGGGTGTCCTACAGTTCAGCTCAGTTCTGACACTCTGCCGTGTTAAAGGACACACAGGTTAACTACCACAAGTTAAAGGGCAAGGGCACCAATAAACTGCCCCCAGTTCAGAAGCCACAAGCCACCCCCAGGCACTTTTGACTCACTTAGCTATAAATTTGAGGGTTCCCATGCTGCCCTTTAATCCCTAATTCACTATAACAACTCACAGAACTCAAGGAAGGCGCTGTAACTGTGACTACAGTTTTATGACAAAGGATTTAACTCAGGAACAGCCAAATGGAAGCAATGCATAGGGCAGAGTGTGGGGAGGGTGGGGGATTGGTGCAGAGCTTCTGTGCCCCTCCTTCTAGAATCTGGGTGCATCACCATCCCAGCATACCAATCAGGAAGCTCCTCCAAGCCTTGATGTTCAGAGATTTTTAGTGGGGGGCTTTATTACTATTAGGCATGGTGGTTTAAATCATCTGCCGCTTGACTGAACTCAGCCTCCAGTCCTCCCTCCTGTCCTCCACGGTTGGGGGTGCGGCTGAAGTTCCAACCCTCTAATCAGGTGCTTGGTCTTTCTTGGTGGCCAGTCCCTCCCTGGAAACATCTAAGGGCCCACCATAAATCACCTCATTAGCATAAATTCAGGTTTGATGAAATGAGCTCATCATGAATAACAAAAGACCCTCCTAATGTTTTTTGGATATTTTAGAAATCCCAAGACTTTTTGAAGTTCTGTGCCGGGAATGGGGGGAAAAGGCGAGATATATTCTTTATGATGTCACACCTGGCCCATCAAGCAGTGGCCTCTGATGGTCACCACCCTGCTTATCCTCTTTGTTGTGATCTCCAAGTTGACATGTTCCCAGTATTGGTCAGAGAACTAGTCATTCTTGTCAGTCTTTTTCTGGGTGTTCTTTTTGTTAATATAGCTCAAGATCGGATTAGTTCTTTGGACTACAACATATAATTACAGCTATTGAGTATGCACCTGTTTACAGTTGAATCATGAGCCTCTCATTACTCAAGTTCCTGATGCTATAATGATTCTAGCCCCTAAATGACACATGATAAGAGCAAATGCTTAATAGCACTTGATATATGCCAGGCACTGTTTTAAATGATTCACATACATTAACTCATCTAAATCCTCACAACAGCCTAAAGAGGTAAATAGTTCGATCCCTATTTTATACATGAGGCACAGAGAGGTTAATAACTTGCCCTACAAGATCACACAGCTAGTAAGTGGCATAGTTAAGACTGGAGCTCATCATCTGCTTGTTGCAGAGTCCATGCTTTTAACCAGTAAGCCACACTGCACATAACTTTGGTCACCTGTGCAACATTCTGGAAGGAAAAAAAGGAGCCCAAAAGGATGCCTCTTGTTCACAAAGTCAAAGGGTGGTTTTCTCTGGCCCCCGTTGTCACAATGAGGGAGTCAGGGCTTCCATTTTCTACTCCATTCCCAACGGAGCTTCTCTGGAGTAACCTTCTGGGGATGGGCTCTGAGAAGTGAAGGCAGGCCTGGGGGGCATGGTAGTTGGGCTCCTGTCCAGCAGGACCTGAGCTTCTTTGTTCCTCGTGCTTCAGGGAGGGAAATGCTACTTCAAGCCTTCACAGACCCATTCCTGGGAGTTGCAGCCATTCCAAGAGGAAGGAAAGACGGTCAGCCTTTTCCACCTAAATAGAAAGGATTTAGGCTAGGAAGGTTCAGTACTGGGCTGTGCTGACCAAAGTGATCCTAATCCCAGAGAAGCTGAGGGTTCAGGTGGCTCTGGAGCTGGTGGGACCTGGAGTCATAAGGAACACAGGGAGCTCATCTCCATGTGCATATCCATGGTACCCATTGGAATGTTGCTTGTTTTGTTTTTAAAATAACCTCAAAGATTGGGGCTTCCAAAGTTCTAAAGAGAATTAAAACAGGAGGGGCAGTGCCTCTGGAAAAATGTCTGCAGTGCTGTCTGCCCTGGAGAGTCTGGGTGGTGACTTCATGTCTGCATAGCTCTGATGCACTCCCATTGTCTTTGTCCTTGCAATACCTTATTACTGCTTATTATTGCAGGGGTGAGGCTGTCTGAGAGCATGGTGGAGGTGAGGTATTTTTAACTCGCTCCACGCACGTGGGATTAACTTGAACCTATAAGGCAAATGTCAGTAGGTCATGTGTGTTCTTTGCAGTTGCCCATTTGGTATTTGGTTTGAGGGAGAGGCCTCAGGGGTGGAGAGACAAGGATGCAGGAAGAAGGTCTCTTGCTCCAGGAAACTCAGATCCTCCATCCTTCATTTTCTACATGAATCTGTCTCACTCCATATAGTGTAGAGCTGGAAGGGGCCCCAGAGTTTATTCTGTTCTCTCCCTCATTTAGAGATGGACAAAATGAGACCCAAAGAGGGAAATTACTATTTGGCCAAGCCCATGAAGCTAAAGAATGACAGAGTGAGGGTGATACTGTAGACTGACTCTAGTCCAGAGCTAATTCCACTGGAAACATCCCTGATGGACTCAATAACTCTTTCTCCACTTAGTTGAAGAATCTGGCTTGAATGCTACTAAGTACAATTTCAACCATTCTAGCAACATGCCAAATCTGTTTCAGATCTTTCTTTAGAGATTTTTTTTTTTTTTTTTTTTTTTTTTGCTTTTGGGGTTTTTTTTGGCTGCCACTTCCTGAAGATGCTTCCTCCATACTCTGTCACTCACAGGCAAATATTTCATCTATAGGCCCAGCAGGCATGGTGCTGGTTGGCGGAGATCTGGTGAGGGCATTCATAAGGAGATGATTAATTAGTGAAAGAATTAAGATGAGATGTCGTGGTTTGGCAAACTCGCAAAAGCAGCAATGGTGGCATTTGGAGCCTCTGGCTGTCCCAGGTTAGGTGTATGGTGGCAGTTGGTAACTGGAGTTGGAGGATGGGGTTTGGACAGCCATGGGAAATGACACCTGGCAATGGTGTTAGAAGATGAGGTTTGTGCCATTTTGGCTGGCTTGCTAAATGGCCAACATCTGGAATGGATGCCATCTATTACATGGTACAACTATTAACATCTAGCCAGTGGTATTTCAACTCTGGCTGCCTATTGGAATCACCCAGGGAGCGTTTAAAAATCCTGATGTCCATAGCTGATTTCCAAGATCTATAAAGAACTTCTCAAACTCAACACCCAAAAAACAAATAAGTCAAAAAATGGGCAGAAGACATGAACAGACACTTCTCAAAAGAAGACATACAAATGGCTAACAGACACATGAAAAAATGTTCATCATCATTAGCCATCAGGGAAATTCAAATCAAAACCACACTGAGATACCACCTTACACCAGTTAAAATGGCAAAAATTGACAAGGTAAGAAGCAACAAAAGTTGGAGAGGTTGTGGAGAAAGGGGAACCTTCTTACACTGTTGGTGGTAATGCAAGTTGGTACAGCCACTTTGGAAAACAGTGTGGAGGTTCCTCAAAAAGTTAAAAATAGAGCTACCCTATGACCCAGGAATTACACTACTGGGTATTTACCACAAAGATACAGACGTAGTGAAAAGAAGGGCCATCTGCACCCCAATGTTCACAGCAGCAATGTCCACAATGGCCAAACTGTGGAAAGAGCCAAGATGCCCTTCAGCAGATGAATGGATAAAGAAGATGTGGTCCATACATACAATGGAATATTACTCAGCCATCAGAAAGGGTGAATACCCAACTTTTACATCAACATGGATGGGACTGGAGGAGATTACGCTAAGTGAAATAAGTCAAGCAGGAAAGTCAATTATCATATGGTTTCACTTATTTGTGGAACATAAGGAACAGCATGGAGGACATTAGGAGAAGGAAGGGAAAAATGAAGGGGTGGGGATCGGAGGGGGAGACGAATCATGAGAGACTATGGACTCCAAGAAACAAACTGAGGATTTTAGAGGGCAGGGGGGTGGGGGGATGGGTTAGCCCAGTGATGGGTATTAAAGTGGGCATATATTGCATGGAGCGCAGGGTGTTATACGCAAATAATGAATCATGGAACACTACATCAAAAACTAATGATGTACTGTATGGTGACTAACATAACATAATAAAAGAAAAAAAAACACATAAAAATCCTGATGTTCAGATCACACCCCAGACTAATAACATTAAAATCCCTGATAGCAGTATTTTTTAAAGTTCCCCAGTGGATTCCAATATGCACCCAAGTTTAAGAACCACTACTCTAGGCCAAGGGTTCAGGCTGTCAGCTGAGGGAAGTAGTACATGTGCCCTCCCTTGAATTTGCTAATTCCCAAAAAGGGAAAAAGAAGGAAGGGAGGGAGGAAGGAAGGAAAGAAGGAAGGAAGGAAGGAAGGAAAGGGAGGGTGGGAGGAGGGAGGAAGGGAAGAAGGGAAGGGAAGGACGGGGAAGGGAAGGGAGGGGCAGGGAAGGGAGGACGGAAGGAAAGAAGGTAGGTAGGTAGTTAGGAAGGAAAAATGAAAGAAGAGGGAAAGGAAGAAAGATCACCTGAGTGTTCTGGCCTGATGGGGTAGATTCCCACTTCTCCCATTACCTAGTGTTTCACCCACCTGCCCCACTCAGAGGAACTATAAGGTGGAGGGTAGAATCTCGAGAGAAGATGGAAGAAGATGTTGCAGACAGCTCACCAACAACAAGACTATGCTTTACTGGCTGTCAGCAAGGCCTCTTGCATAATGAACTGCTGGCTGTAGGGAAAGTCAAGGTTTGGGCTAACAGAATGGGCCAAGGGGGAAGAACATGAGGACAAGGAGGCAGGAGTGCTGTAAGAGAACAAGAGAGCATTCCACCTCCTTGTGGAATGCAAATGTGAGCTCATGGAGGTAAAGTGAGGGAGGGCAGGTTAACGATGAAAGCCAGCTGTCCCGATCCCCCGTAATGCTCTTTTGTTGGCATCTCTCTACTGGTGTTCAAAAGCTAATTCTTGTTCAGTCAAGGCACTTGCCTTCCTTTGCTAAGAGAGGGATCACACAGTAGGGAGAAGGCTAGGGGGCTCTGTAAGGCTGCCCTGGGTGTTGAAGGGGCATAACTCAGATTTGAAGGCCTAGTGATGCTGACACACAAAGGGAGACTGGTGTGGTCAAAGCCCCATAGCTGGGAGGTGGAGGCTGGAGCTGCAGCTTGCTTCTTCAGGAAGATTCCAGTATAGTAAGAGAAGACATTCCTTCTTACCATCAGGCCGTGGGCAAAAAAAAAAAAAAAAAAAAAAATGCTTGAGTAGAAAAAACAGGGTTCCCAGCCCAGCTCTCCAAAGGCTGCCCTAGTCCTCATTCCAGGGATCAGGTCTAGATATAGTACATTAGTAAGTACTAATTCCCAATATGTGGCTTTACACTACGTAGGTATGCATCACAAAAATGCTCCAAAAGGTATGCAGATCATGCTTGCACCGGAGGAACTGTCCACTTCCACCCTGGTGTGGCAGTTTAAGTGTAGCTGGTTAGTCAGGGAAGGGTGGTGGACCCCTAGGCGTGTGCCAGATTTTCGCTAGGTCCGATGAGGTATTAGCGCCCCCTATCGATGGGCAGCTGACGGCGCCCTGCCCTCCAAACCGCGGCTCGGGTTACACCCTCCGGGGAATAGCCGCCTCCCTCGTGAATCCAACGAATCCAGCCCTTCTGCCGTATGAAACTGTACTCGGACTGGGAGCTCCCTCTTCCCTTCTCTGTAGGCTTCCAGAAACGAATTATAAGCCCACCAAGACAATGAGTGAAGAGACTGTCCCCGAGGCTGCGTCGCCGCCGCCCCCGCAGGGGCAGCAGTATTTGGACCGCTTTTCTGAGGACGACCCTGAGTACCTGCGCCTCCGCAGCCGCGCGGCGGACCTGCGGCAGGACTTCAACCTGATGGAGCAGAAGAAGCGCGTCACCATGATCCTGGAGAGCCCCGTGAGTGGGGTCCGCCCCAGGCGGGCGGGAGAGGAGGAGGAGGAGGGGAAGGGAGCAGAGGAGGCGGCGCCGCCCATTCATCTGGCTGAACCTGAAAGATAAATAACTCCTCTTTCATTTGCTCAGTGTTGTAGCAACTTTAAGCCCCCTGAGCAAGACAGGCCTGGCCCATTTTGCTCCCTGGTCACTGGTAGAGGGCAAAAACCTGGTTTATGTGCAGGCGGTTTGGCTTGGTACTGGGGAGGGGGTGGGTCTGGGAGACAGGAGCCCTGCCTCAGTTTCCAGGCTTCCCCAAAAGTTGTAACAATGAACTAACAGGGATAGTCCTGTAAACCGGAGGCCATCAGGGAGCGCCACGTGGAAGGCTTGGGGCCCCCATTTTTGAGCACCACAAAGAACTGACTGTCGGGGCAATAAGGTTGACAGGCATGGGGTAGAGGTGAAGAGGGTCTGGAAGCCCCAGGAGGTGGCCAGAGTGAAGGATACAGAGGACTATGGGCCAGGGCAGGGAGGGCAAGTCATGATCACCCTACCATGGCCCCAGACTTGAGGTCAGTTGGTACCTGCGTGGCATGGACACAGAGCTCATCCTTGCAGCAAGTGGTGCATTGAGAAGAACAAAGCATGGGCCTAATGGACCACGGAAGTAGGAGGGTGATGGAGGCCCTGGGTGAGGAGAAGAAGAGCGGTGTGGAAGGAGTGTGAGGGCGGTAGAGCTGGGGGTCCTCAGGAAACAGTGCATGATCCCAGGGGCTGGGGAGCTCAGGCTGGAGCTGGCATCTCCAGGTGCCTGCCAGGAGGGGGCTCTGCCTCAGTCCCCACTGGGCTTTGGAGAGACAGAACACGTAGGTGGGCTGTGTGTGACCCTGGCTGAGAGCACACGGTGAATGCTCAGGCTTCACAGAGGAGCACTGAGGTAATGGGCCTGAGGTCTTGGTGACAGGTGACGCTGTGGAGGAAGCCTGGAGGAATATGGCAGGTACTAAAAGCTTTGGGATGATGGGAAAACTCCAGTGTGGGACTAGGAGAGATGACAGGTGTGATAGGAGAAGTGGCAGAGTTAGTACCAACCCAAGTTTCGGGGCCTGAATGGATAGAACTCTATTCGCAGGCAAGAAATGGGACAAAAGGAGTTCATGTTTCTTCTGTCCTTTTATAGATTGACCAACACCTGAGGGGCTCCGTTTCCTCCTGAGTGTTCCCTGCTGCCACCTGGTGGACCGTCCTGCCTTATTTATGGTCTGAAAAACCAGGCTTAGAGTAGCAGGACATTAGAAGTGGAAGTGACAGGGAGGACAGCAAATCCTTCAGTACCTGAGGAAACTGAGGTCCAGAAGGGCCATAGGCATGGCTGACGGACAGGGAAGATGGCACACATTTTCGTCCAGTTCTGCTTTTTAAAATGTCTCTTAGTTACTAAAGTGAAGCCCTGCCCTGTCTGATGGCCTGGGGCGGCGGGGGGGCAGTGAGGGGGGGTTGGAAGTGGGAGGGACGTCTTGAATATCACTTAGACTCAGGAAGGACCTGGGCAAAGGGGACACAACAGGGGACATCTTTTTGCTTCCCAAACAGTAGTTTGGGGAGGCTCCTGAGGTCCCACTAGAATTCCCAATGTCTCCTGAGGCCCAGGGATCCCATGTGTGGCCCTGGCCTAGCTGACCCAGGGGATTGGGGTGGGCTCTTGGAAGAGGGGTCCTCAGACCCCCCCCATGAGATCCACTGGGGGGACCAGCACCTTGGGGCCTGCTTCAGTCTTTCAGGGAAGAACTGGAAGGCCTCATCCAGGAGCAGATGAAGAAGGGGAACAACTCCTCCAACATCTGGGCCCTGCGGCAGATCGCGGACTTCATGGCCAGCACCTCCCACGCAGTCTTCCCAGCATCTTCCATGAGTACGTGCGGAGCTGGGGAGCTGCCAGGAGCGGAAGTGGAGGAAGTGAGGTGGGGAAGAGAGGGTGGGTTGCCAGGCTACAGAGTGAGCGGTGCAGCTGAGTTAGCCAACGCGGGGGGCGGGCAGCCAAAGCGGTACCTGACTCTGCTTCTGAGGCTGCTGGATTTAAAGACCCACAGGAGAATTACTCCTGGTGCCCAGAAATAGAAGGGGGATGGTGACCTACCGGAAAACCTCTTTCTGGTTCTGTTGGGGGAAGGGACAGGATGACAGGGTGTCACTGTTCTGAGAGGCAGGGAAACCTCTATGTGACTCCTCCATCCCCCTTCGTAAGTGGGTTAGCATGAAGGGAGGAGCTTTGCAACTCCAAGTCTTCCACATGGCCTCTGCTTGAGGACCCAGGAGTGGAGAGTGCAGATTCCGCTCCCTGTTACCGTAGCTGTGGATACAGAACTGAAGGAAAATCCTCGTGGGTTAGCAGCAACCTCTGACTTGGGCTGCTCTTTACTCAACCCCATGGAGCCTCTCCCTTGCAGCTGGAGTGGTAGGGAGGGGAGGAGGGTTTTGAAGCCAGTATCTTGGTACCCCACTGGACAGACCAACCTGACTCCATAGACAAGGACCACAAGCAGCCAGGCCTGGGCATGAAACCCTCTTCCTGGGTTCTGAAGTTCTGCCCACAACCTTGAAGAAATAAACATCAAAAAATACTTTCCCTCAACAGCATAAATACAGGATTATGATGAAAAATTAGGGAAATAATCAAGAAAGGGAAATTAAAATTAATGTACTGTGTTCTTACAACTAAGAAATGACTATTTTCAATATTTTGGTGTATATCCTTCCAGCCTTTTTCTCTTAACATATATAAATTAGGAAAACAAAAATGGAATCATATTATACATGCAAGTTTGATAGCTTTAACATATCTTAACTAATTTTTCACATAATAAAATAGGATTCTGTAATATATTTGGTGAAAGTATGCTATTCTATGGCATGACTGAATATGCCATAATTTATTTTTAGACTGTTTCCCATTTTTAGACTTTTAATTTGTTTACAGCTTTTTGCTCTTATGGACAACAGTGCCATAAATCCTTTCACTTAGTCTATGACTATTTTCTAAAGACAAATTACTGGAAATAGAATTGCTACATTAAAGTATTTGCATGTTTTAAAGACATTAATGCATAATGCCAAATTACCATGGAGAAAGATGGAACCAATTTACATTCCCACCAGCAATGCAATAGAGTGCCCTTTTCCTCCACCTTGATCTGTAGTATGTATTATACCATTCATTTCATCCTCCTGATTTGATAGGTGATAAATAGTACTTTATTTGTGTTTTAATGTGCATTTGTTTGATCACTAACGACTTTGGGTGTATTTTCATATACACGTTGGGATGGTTTTTTTTTTTATAGTAAATTGCCTATCACATTCCTTGCCAATTTTCCTACTCACATATCCTTTTCTTAAAAATTTTCAAATCTTGGGGCGCCTGGGTGGCTCAGTTTGTTAGGCGACTGCCTTCAGCTCAGGTCATGATCCTGGAGTCCCGGGATCGAGTCCCACATCGGGCTCCCTGCTCAGCAGGGAGTCTGCTTCTCCCTCTGACCCTCCCCCCTCATGTTCTCTCTCTCTATCTCGTTCTCTCTCTCAAATAAATAAATAAAATCTTTAAAAAATTTTTTCAAATCTTTATAAAATGGGGCTATTTCCCTCTTATCTATCAAATATATTGCAATTTTTTCCAGTTTTTCCTTTGCCTTTTCTGTTCATGATGTTTTTGTCTTGTAGAACTCTTTAATTTCCATGCAACTGAATCCATTGTTACTTTCCTTTGTGTGTTCCTCTTTTGATTGCACACTCAGAAACACCTTCCCCATGTTTTATCATCCCATGAGACAAATACCCTTAATTATTTTTAAAAATAAGAATTATTTTGTCAAGATCCCCCCCCACTCTGCATACCTCAAAAATTCCCTTTTGGGATTTTGATTGGGATTATATTAAATAAATAGATTAATTTGGTGGAGAATTTATAAATTTACAATTTTATATTAGAATATAAGCTTCATGAGGGAAAAAATATTTGTGTTTTGTTCACTGCTGTATCCTAGAATAGTGTCTTGGACTTAGAAAAGTAGCTGGGTTCTAGAGGGGAGGGGGGTGGGGGATGGGTTAGCCT